AATCAAGCTTTTTACATCATAACCAAATTCATCAAATGCTATTAAAAAAGCAAAAGTTAATTGGTTGCAGTATATATGAAATATCACCTAGATACAATTTCAAAACTCCTATTGCTGGACATCCAAATCAAAGATTATTTAGCAACATCATCTAAAAATCACAAATGTCTTTTCAAAAAGCAAAATGAAGTCATCTTTTATCAATTATTTGGAGATAATGTTTTTGCATAATGTAGAAGCAATAGGGCTCCTACTAATGAGTTTGTCATGCTGGTGCAGATTCTTAGATTCTTATGCTGGTTTACGAAGGGTGGCCCACCGCACAAGGCTCCCCACTGAGGCAGAATCTGCAGAAGGTTAATCTACATAGAGACTACTACAGTATCTGATATAATGTTAGCATGCTACTGAATGATAAAGCAATGACAAAATTCTTGTTGGGTTTCCCAAGCCTAGTGCAGACGTAACACTTCCAACAAATGTTTATTCCATCCAGAAGGAGAAATAGCTCTCGGTGCTATCAAATAGAGAGCTAAGCAAAGAGGAAGGAAGATTGATTCTCCATAAGTGGTAGAAGGAAGATTGATTGGCCTTAATGAAGCAACACGATCTTAGAATACTTTTTTTCCATTTTCCTTTTGTACTAGGCCTATATAAACAGGGAAAGGTTTACATTCATGAACATGGCTGATGAGATAGTTCTTTTTGCTTTTCCCATATTATATACTAATTATGTGATGCCACATACCTAGAAGAGACTCCTAGAACTAAACAAGTTTGTATTAATCCCCAGTGTGATGTCCAGGAACTAGAGTAAATTTGAGTATAATCTTTTCTCTTCTATCGCTTTCTCTTCCATAATAATCAAATCCTAGAAAATATATATATTTTTCCTTTGCTTTATGAGCCCTTTCATGAGCTTGTCCTACATCACTATATTAATCATCTCCATTCCTGCCTTGATTGGGAGAGTCTTGAGAAAGTATTTCTCCACTTGTACTTCAACAATGATTGAATTGTCCATCCTCTTACAAAACTAAATAGGCCTCCTTGCCTTCTCCAATACCATGTAATAGTCCTCTGATTGAGAGATTTTTGTACCAAAATGGACAAGAGTCACAAGATACTTAATCACACTCTTGTGCACTAAATCTAGTTGAATAAATGCATTGAAGGGATGCATCAATGTGTATTGGGCTGAACATGATATATTGACTGATGTCTAGGCATTTCCAATAACCAATAATGTTAATTTAGCCAAATAAGCACTGGCTATGATGAAAGAGGGTCCTAGGTTGGGCCTATCATATTAGTAACATTTAGACAAAAAGAAATTCATGATTTTCTTATGACCTTCAACGACTATATTTTTTCTTCTTTTTTATGCAAACAATTTCAAAAATCCAATAGTTATACAAGCCAAGAATCTAAAATTCAAATGTTTCCTTAAGCAAAGGCATCAACAATCAACCAAACAGTTGTCACATATTCAAAAGACGTACACACATGAAATTTCATCCGAGTACCAAACTAAACAAAATCAATGCTTTACGTTCAAAATTGACATACCAGCAATTACCAATGACATCTACGATGGATATCAAATATTCTGAAAACAGATTATTAGGAGAGGGGGCAAAAATAATTTACCTGCTGATCACTCATCTTGTCTGCCAAACCAAAGACGCACGTTGGAGTGGCCTAAATATCTCGAGAAAAATATCCTTTCTCTGGCGAACGGGGGAGGAAGGGAGCCGTGAATTGGAACAAGAAGAATCTAGGGTTTTTAACCCGATCGGGAAGAGGCCACTATAGAAGGGGAGGCGGAGGGAAGACATTAAACGAGAGGAAACGAGGGGAGGCCGAGGGAGGCGGCGGGGGAAAAATAGCATCTAAAAGGGGAGACGAACTTTCGGATTTGGCCACCACCGCGGCCTAAACGCAGCATCTACCGCGGGAACTCCGAGATGGAACGCACAAAACTGCGTCGAGGAAACGACGAGGGGTGGGGGGGAGGTTGCCGTTTTCTCGCAGAGAAGAGAGAGAGAGAGAGATGGAGTAGGGTTTGATGGGTCTCCTGAAGCATCATTTAGAGTTCCTTTATGAATCGGTTTTCAGGGTTCAGAAAACATCGTTATTTGAGTCGGACCGGACAATTGACCGGTCGACCGATTTAGAGCGGTTCAACTGCTAGACCGAATATTTTAATAAAAATTAAAATAAAATAAATTAGATAAAAAAATATTAAATGTAGTATTTAAATGGTATTTTATATATGTATTCTCGTAAATTTCGGAAATAGCAAATTTATCATTATAATTTTAGTGTACCATCTATAGCCTTACAAATTAAAATCATCTCCATAAAAAATTATTTTTGATGAATATTAGTTTGTTTGAGTCTATACATACCATATAGTTGAAACATTAATGATATTTTTGTCCTTATAATAAAAGCTCAAAGGCTACTGATGTTTTTTTTATACAGGTCAAATTTATTGAGCGAAAAAGGATGTTTTTGATTATATCAAATATGTTATCGTTTTATCGTAGACGAGTGCATACGCTTTACTTATGTCGAACATGTTGAATGTTATTTTTTTTAGACAAATATATCATGCATAAAAAGGAGGTGTGTTAAAAGTTTCATCATATTTTTTTGTCCAAGACAAATGCATCTAATGTAAATAAGAATGTTGTGAGGTACTTCAAATACTTTTTTATCTTATACATGTATATGGTGTGTAAACGAGACATGGCATACATTAATGGCTTCAAATATTTGTTTATCTTATATGGATGCAACGATCATAAAAGGAATGCTTTAGGAGGTGCCTTTAAATGTTTTTTTGTCTTGGATATATACATGATACATAGAGGGGATATTTTGAGATGCAACAATCACTTTGTATGTTTGCGTAGTAAACATATCATGCATAAAAAAGAATGTATTTGGTGCTTTAGATTTTTTTTTTTAAGCTCTAAATGTGCAAAAAGAGATGTTTTAGATAGGTAAAGCACTTCAAATATCTTTTTATGTATGACACATAAAGAAAACTCTTTATCATGTTATATAATTTAAATATTTTTATGATATAAACCGAAGTATCATATACAAAGAATATGATTTGCTATATCAAACACTTTGGATATTTTTTAGTTTTGAATAAACTCATTGATCGCAAAAGAGGGCACGTTCAATTATCAAGTGATATGAATATAAATATGCTTCAAATATATTTATATTATTAAAATTATCACATATACGAGGTTTGGGAAACTCTCCCTTGGTGGAGGCATTTAATTTCTAGAGGCGACCTGACCTTATATGATTAGGTTGAGCCTATGGATTGAATTCGGGCTTGCTAGTTCAATTAGTATGATTATTCTATTTTTTTTATCCCCGATAGAAGGAACTATGTTAATTTTAAGGCATTGATAAAGCTATAGATGAGGATATAGGGATAATGACAAGTCACCTTATGAGTCTCATCATTCAATTTCAAGATATAGCTGATTAAGGATTTATCATTGCCTTATCAAATGGTCTACAAAGTCTTTTTAGACTTATATTGGTCTCATGTTCTTACTAAAGCAATAAAAAGATGTTTTAATTGTGGGTTTAATGAGGTAATAATGTTGGTGCAGCATTTTTAGAATTCTTTGTCAGTTCCCATAGTCAGACATGATATCTTCAATAAATATTGATTAATTTCATATGTCAAAGTCCTAATGGATCTAATTATAATGATCATATCAAAAAATAAACATAAAATAATTTATTTTGAAGAGATATGAAAATTGATGAAAATAAAATTACAAGGGAGATTGATGGCAACAAAACTTATATAATGAGAAAGAAGAAGAGACGAAGAGTAACTAAAAGAAGAATAGTTGCCTATGATATAAGATGAAAAAGAGAGGACAATAACTCGATGTGCAACAAAGTGAGAGCGACGATAATAAGAGAAGAAGGCTTAGGGTTTGAAATCTCACCCGATATATCTAAAGATATTATGTATCACTTTCTGCGTTTGAATCTCCCATCTACCCCTAAAAATAAATATAATATTTATATGTGGGAAAAGAAGAAAAAGCAACAGATCTATACATTTTATTAAGTCTAAATTACTGAATAAAAATATTAAATTTTTAGCCAAACAAATTCATAAGAAAATTTTAAGCTCAAATTAATAGTAATATATTTATCGATCATATCCTTATAAACCAAAGTATTACATCATGATAAAGAAAATAAGAATGATAAAATTATATTGATTCATGAAAGACAAACCATTCTGATTGATTTAAAATGACAATTAAATGTATTGATTTAACTCTTTTTATTTAATATTTAAGATAATTTCTGAAATAAAAAATGATTATATGAATTATATATTATTCCTGTAGTCAGACATCTTTGGCATTCCGATCTCTAGACTTAAATTTATATTAAAATGTTTATAGTTATCAAAATAAAATATTTAACTCCATTTACTCTAATATTATCGGCTTTATCAACGGAAGATATATCACGTGACAACACATGCATGAATAATATGAAAATGATGAATAAAAAAGGATAATTTTAATTATGGTGATGAACGATGTTGTCGTAAGTGATTGTTAATCAACAAGAATGATACAATGGTCAATCTTACCACGAATAACAAAAAAAATAATATGTAAAAAGATAATTTTGACTTAATTTATATTTTCCATCGTTAAAACTGATAGTATCAAGATAAATAAGATTAAATATTTTATTTTTATGATTATAAAAATTTTAATGTAAATTTTTTAAACCTAGGATCATGATAAATGATACTAAAGAGATCTACGTGATTTTACTATAAATTTTTTAAGTCTAACAATTGATATATTAAATACATCTAACTATAATAGATAATATATAATTAGCCCAAAATGATCAGACCTTAATAGTTGGGAGAATTAGTTGCGTCGTCCCATCATTTTATATCTCCTGCGAGATCTCTTCTTGCAGGGTAACGAACTGGGAGAAACGACAATGACGGCGGCAATTCGTACAACATTAGGTACGAGTTGGTATATTCCTTCCATGACGGATCCGGCTGACGGAAAAGAGCGTTCCGCTTGTCCTTCGATAAAGGAAAGTAGTGCCGATGGAGTGTCACTGTGCTTCCCCCGCGAAATCTCAGTTGCTGCATCTACGAAGCCGGAATGGGGACGCCTGCGCTCCTCCTCTTCCTGGTGATCGTTCTCGCCGCCAAATCGGATTGCCGAGGCCATCATGAGGCGCCGTCGCTTTGGCAAAACCCCCTTCGATTCTCCGCCGACTCGGCGTTCAAGATCGCTCTCTTCGCCGATCTCCACTACGGCGAGAACGCGTGGACCGACTGGGGCCCCGCGCAGGACGACAACTCCGACCGGGTCATGTCGGCTGTGCTCGATACGGAGATCCCAGGTGATGCGCCTCTTTACCTGCCCCGAATCTCGCGGGGTTGATGATATGCAATTCGGTCTTCAAAATTTGGACATTGCTCTTGTGTGTTGTCTGAAGAATTTTATTCGATGGATGTGATTCGATTTTGTTTCATGAAATTAAAATGCAATTAGAAATTTTTGCTCTTTTTGGATGGCTTGTGTGTCATAAGCCAATGCACAATGTGTTCCTATATGGTAGTCCCTAGCAAGGTTCATGACTTGGTATACCGGCAGTGTACTGATCAGGGTTCAGACTGATACTGTACCGATCCATGCCAGTTTATCAAGTGCCAGGACACCAATATATATCGAGTTTTAAAAAATTCTGAAAAAAGAAACTGGCTGGTGTAGGACCTGTATCATCTGCCTCATATCAGACGATGCAAGTTGTACCGAGAGGTATAGATCTTGTATCGGATGGAACAAGTCCTCAGACCACCCAGTTTACCCTGGTCCGCTTATCCGTGGATCGGTAAATACTGTTCTTACCGTACCAGGCGGTACGATAAATATTATCGAACCATGAAATACTGTTCTTACCGTACCAAGTGGTATTACAAACCTTGATCCCCGGAATGCTTATCAATTGCACATTGGTTCCTCGATTAGTTCGTGGAATCCATGAAGAAGTTGTGTACAAGTACCTCATTTACACTAGGGATATGAAACTCTGTGTGCGCTCGATGGCTAATCTCCGTTGGACTCTGTCTCAGGGTGAACATATTATTCTTTTAAACTTCTGGCTTTAAAGTTACAATTGATGAATTAAAAGTAACTATAATTGCATATTGGTCTTATGAGATTTTATTATAATTGCAGATTTTGTGATCTATTTGGGGGATGTCATCACTGCAAACAACCTTCCTATTGCTAATGCAACCTTGTACTGGGATAGGGCACTTTCTTCTTCTAGAAGCAGAGGAATCCCTTGGTCTACTGTGTTTGGCAACCATGATGATGCTCCATTTGAATGGCCATCTGAATGGTTTTCAGCCACTGGAATTCCACAAGTCATTTGTCCATGTGCAAATATCTCGTTTTCAGGTATAACTAAAAGACATTTGACAATGGAGTTTAGGGAGATGTGCAATGTTTGCTACCACATTAGTACATCAAGTTAATTGATAATGTTTTAGAACACTTAAAAGGAAAATCTTCCTAAGAAAAAGTTGTTTGAATTATAACAGTGATGAGAAGTTGCCTTTATGATACCATAGGTCGCATTTACTTGTTTTCTTTCATTGTTACAAACTTTATGTAGACATGATTTCCAAATAAGTCCAGATCCTTGTTAATTTCAGGTCCCTTTTTAACTAAAGGATTTGTATCATTGTTACAAATAAGTGTGGTATGTTTCTAAATATATAATATATTAATATTATGGGTAATTTACTTTCATACAATTTGAGACCAATTCATTCCATAGGTACTCTAATATTATTTTGTTCTTCATCAATGAGAATTGGCCATAGATATCTAAATTATTTGAATTGCTATTCGTAGTATTTGTTCTTTTGACCTACAACTTTATCCTCCAAGATTTCTGATATGGGTTGTTTGATATGTTAAAACCATATCTAACACGAGTTGTAATATTTTAAAATGTTCGAAGATGGAGAAGTGGATGATACAGTTTTGAGCGATTGCAACTTTAAGGGAACAACACGAGTCAAGTTGATCAGTGCTGAGATTAACAATAATAGGTTGTCTTATTCAATCAGTGGTCCAAAAAACCTTTGGCCTAGTGTTTCCAATTATGTGCTGCAAGTATCTTCATCCAAAGATCCAAAACTACCAGCTGTTTTCCTTTACTTCCTTGATTCTGGTGGTGGTTCATACCCAGAAGTAGTATCTAATGCTCAAGCTGAATGGTTCTTGAGGCAATCACAGAAGATCAACCCAGATGCAAGGTAGGAAGCAGAAAAGTGTTGCTTTAAATTTGTATTAATTTTGTTGCATTTTTGTGATAATATCTTATGCCTGGAACTTTTTATTTACAGCATTCCTGAGATTATCTTTTGGCATATACCAAGCACAGCATATAAGAAAGTAGCTCCCATGCCTATTTTTGGAATACATAAACCATGTGTTGGTTCCATCAACAAGGAAAGAGTGGCTCCACAGGAAGCTGAATGGGGGATCATGGATATATTTGTAGATAGGCCTTCCATTAAGGTATGAAGATTTCACTGAACACTTATTTTGCCTGTGTGCACATGTATAAACAGCATCCAGAATTTTGCTTATTTAACAAACAAATAATTGCATGTGTATGTCTAAAGTTTAGGTAGCTGCACTGAATCAGCACGTGAAACTTATGCCATACTTGGAACTATTGCTCTGCTTCAATTTCTTGAAATTGTTCTTCACAAATTTTTAATGATGAATGGAAAAATCCTGTCCTTGTTTTGAGGTGTGTGTAGAAGTTATTGACTTCTTCATTCTTTGTTTTGGAAAAGTCCTGTCCTTATTACTGCTCACTTTCCCTCTTCATTAAAAAACCAGTAGACTAGCTTAGTAAGTTGTATATAGTAGTCCTTAGCAAACATATCTCAAAATAGTCAAGCCAATATATATTGACTATTAAGTCCTTCAAGCCATTTATTAATCCTATCACCATCACACGATGTTCATCATGGTGTTGATTCTTATTTCTACAATAACTTGTACAGAGCGAGTATTGGCCAACATAAGTCCAAACACTTGGAACTCAATTTATTTCTAGCAAGCCCATCAGGGATTGAAGTTTAATTCATCATAGGAAGTTTTGTCTTGAGATCTGTCATGCTAAGGTGGTTGTTAAACATTCTGTATTTTATCTAGGCCATTTTTTTAAATAGTTTTTGGTTGACATAATGGTGAGTTAACTAAATCATGTCAAGTTTTATGGTGTTCAGCCTTATCAAGCCAGCAAGATTTTGAGAATCCCCATGCCACCAATTTTAAAGCCTTGAACCCTAAATCAATTCTACCAATTATCTCCCAGTTGGTGTCGTTGGAGCATCACAATCAATGGCCCTGAAACACCTAATATTCTTGTCAAGTAACAAGATGTATTTCAAATCTATTAAAGAGATTTACTTTGTGGTCAACACAAGAAATCTCAACGCAGAGCAGACAAGGTATTCCTCACTTGATGCTATGGGGTGCACATCATCTAAGTCTCCAAAATACTGCTAATACTTTTGTCTGGATTCAAGTAGTCTACCAGCCTGTTGACTTCTACAGTATGGATCTTGGCCAGTATGACCATCATGATATACATATACATAGCAATCCAACCAATTATCATCTCCCTAGGACATATAACCAATATGCTTGGTTCAGTTTGGTTCTTTTATGTTAAGCTTCATTTGGTTCTGCTTTGGAAAAACCAAAAGCAAATGGCACCAGGTTTGGTTGAAATTGTACAGAAGAAATATCCTAAAACCCATTGTTGACATCTGATCTTTCCATGTCATTTTAGATATCCATATTTTGTGGCCCTAAAATAATAAGTTATTAAACACTAAAGCTCTTTACTTTTTCTCCCTAAAATCACCTCTTTCTAGTTCCAAGAACTATGCTTTGTTATAAAACCGAACCTCTCTCCGGATTTTACCCTTTCAATTTGAAATTTTGAATTGAGACATCTCACTTTTTGCAATTAGTTTGGCCACAACGATAATCACAAACTATGCTCACAGCCATGTAATCAACTTGATTCACTCCATTATGTAACCAGATTTTAAGAGAAAAATCTTCTAAAATATGCTTGTTATTCTATTTCTCTAGTATCTAATTGTTCAGCTTGTGAATTGATTTCCTTTCACTTTAGAAATTTGATAACAAATCAAAGTAGGGACAATTGCTTTCCCAATTTAACATCTATGGAGGTAATATTTGAGCATTGGAATTTCTTGTTTTGGTTTATAATATCACTTTCTAGGTCTACCAAGAGGAATATCTTCTCTGACCTTTTGAATAATCTTAGACTGCAAGTTGGTCCTTCCCATTTTTGAGATAGTTTTTCCTCTCGCAGAACTATGACTTTTACTTCTCCCAGTGACACTTCGAGCTATAATGGAGTTAATACACGTTAACATGCTGATATTTCAAATTATCTTTTTCTAAAATTTACTTCCTGTGCCTGTGTCATATCCATGTTGGCATCAACGCTTAATGGCTACTTCCTGCAACATGTTGGAAGATTCGAGACTCACACGCCATAAGGTCCCAACTGCGTTTGATGTGCCTCATGGATCTTCTCTAAACAGCAAGCTTTGTTGATGGCAATATCACTAGTCAAAGTTGCAAAGAACACAAAATTGACTTGAATAATGCTGAACAAATCATTCATTTTAAAACATGATTAAATAACATAAATAATCTAACTTTTGTGACCTGAAAAGTTCCAAGTACAGGGAGTTTCCTTGTTATAGACCCAAGGTAATAATGCTTTCTCCACTTCATGAAGCATTTACTGTTTTCTTATGAGAAAAGAGATCAATTGATCATCAGCTGCACAATGTTGATGTAACATGGTGATGATTCAAGATGCTAAAAGGGACATAAACTGAAAGCAATGAGTGGCATCTACTTCACTAAGGCTACATAGTATATTCCCATCAATTTAGTATGAGCAACATCTGAGATAAGCAGTTAGAATGATTATGTTACTAAACTTGTGTAATACAACCATTAAATTTCTAGGTATAATCTTTCAAGTAGGTCCTGTCATCAGCTTATGATCTGTAGAAGTTGTGTGTTCTGTAAGGATGAGACATGCATTAAGATTGTATTGTTGCTAGTTGTAATTGACCATCCGTGTGCTATATATTCAAACATGTCTTGTGCCACTTTGCAGGCAGTCTTTGCTGGCCACAACCATGGATTGGATTGGTGCTGCCCTTACAAGAACCTTTGGTTGTGCTTTGCTCGCCACACCGGTTACGGTGGCTATGGCGACTGGCCAAGAGGATCGAGGATTCTCTCCATGACCGAACAGCCATTGTCCATCGAGTCTTGGATACGGATGGAGGACGGAACTAAGCATAGCCATGTCACCTTGAGCTCCTAAACTGCTCAAATGTATCAAAGGATTATGAACAAGTATCTGACAGCACTTAATTCTTTAAGAGAAAACACAATGTTTGTGTCAGTAATATATAATGGCATGTGGCTAGTGATGCATGTATAGCTTTTTTATTATTTGGCAGCATCGTCTCATTGTCAGTTGTTGGTGGATAAAAATATATAGTAGTAATGTAGGTATAGTTTTTTTTCTTTTTATTATTCGACAGTATGATTAGTTAGTTTTACTGGTAAAGATTTTGATGGATGATAGTAAGATCATACATTCTGTTTTCATCGTTTATCTATTGCATCATACTTGTAATAGAAAAATCGGTCATACCATAGAAAAATTTTGATGGGTGATAGTAAGATCATAAATTCTATTCTCGGATTTCACACGTCTTACATCATAGAAAAATCGATCTCACCTCACTCTTATTAAATCATCAAAAGTTAATCATGTTAAACTAACCTCGCATGCATACCAATAGATCAAACCATACCGGCCAGTATTAGGAATCTTGGCTGGCCCCAAGATAAAAGAAAAGAAGTTGACCAAAGGCATGCATTGAAATAGAAGTCAACCCTCAATGTATGCATTGACGCTATCAAATAGACATCCATGCTTCATGCAACAAATCAGCAGTGTGTTCCATGCAAAATAACGTCAGCTGGATTAAGTTTTATGTCCTCGCACTCTTCCTCTTCCTCTGTTCGTGACCGTACGTGCTTAATGAGCAAGCGCACATGCAGATAGTAACTAATGTCAAATAGTTGCCAAACGATAAATCTCCACCTCACTGAAGCTGATAGTAACTAAATAATGGCAAATAGAAAAATCCCAATTCCTATCGACTCAGGCAAATGAAAATTTATCCATACAACAATAAGCTGTTTGAAAAGGACAGCCCCTTTAAATATATTGGACAAATTCAGACACAATGGAATTGTTACAATCATAAAGAAACCTCAATGGCAATTATAGATCGAAAAGTATATTCTTCTAGATCACTATCAATGCTTTCTTGGGTCGCCAATAGCTGATCAGGAATCTCACTTCAGCTGCAAATCACTGGTATCAGGTTTTCGTGGTGGATCTCAACTCTCAAGAACGTTAGCTTCAAAGCAGCGGCAAGTTCACTTGAGCGGTTGAAGCTTGAGAAGATCTAAGTTAGCTTTTTAAAGATTTGGTTGGAGATTTGCATTAGCTTCAAGTTCTAATCATGATAACTTGCCCATAACAATGATCAGCGTACTCCTAACCTGCATGCCACCCACTTTATGATGTCTTGTTCAACAATTGGTCTCTTAAGACATCAACAAGGTCGCCAGCGACACCATTATTTGCTGCAAGGAACTGCTCGGCTGCTAGATGGTCTTTGAAGAAGTCACCTTTTATCCAATACCCATTTTCTTCCTTTCTAATGATTCCATGCTTAGCAGCCATCTCCAAAATCTCCTCTTCATGACAAAGACCTCGGCCAAATCTTATATTCAGGTTAGCTTTCTTCATTGCAGGTGCAAGCTTATTCTTTATAACCTCCACCGATATGGTAACGCCGGTGACCTGGGGAGCAGAAAAGCCACAACAAAAGGTCTCAATCACAACCGCATAGCTGATAAAGATATGCTCCAAATGACAGTTCAATGAGAATGCCAAGGCTAGGAGATGCCATCCATTTCATCTATAGAAATGATGACCAAAATACAATGTATATAAAGGTGGACATAATTAAACAATTCACATTAAAAGAATATATCATTCAGAATCAATATGGAAACTTAATTTTAATGAATTACAATGTTCCTGATCTGACAAGTCAAATAGGTCATATTAAGGAAATTGTCATAGCTCATTCATTATAGTGGAGCTGAAATCTCAACCCTACAAATCAAAAAACATTGAGGCAGTCAGAAAAATGAAAACAGTTAATAATTATATCAGAGGACCTTTTGTGATTATGTTAAGTAACAGAAAAATGTAACAATTTTAGGAAAGATACAAACTCATCTAGTGCATAGATTATAGCCTAAATATCAGTTGCAACTCAACCGTGCATCTTAGGGGCAACCATAGTATATGGCAGAGGCATTGCCATACAAGCCAGCCTTGCTTTTCATTCTCTAGTAAAGGATTATGTAAAGGTTGTTACTGAGTCTGGAGAATGCACAGCTGCCTATGAGGAAGACATTGGTGTAAAAGGTTTAATCTTGTCCGCAAAGAGCACTGCCGGGTATAAATGATAGGTCATAGAGTTGACCTGACTACTATACATCGTATTGCACTTCTCTCTCTCTCTCT